TAGACCTACACTACGCTGACCTGACATTAGGACTACACTACGCTGACTTTGAGCTACTTTTAGAGATAATGAGAGATGGGATAAAGTTTCAGAAATAAAGAGAAATGTAACACGCAAAAAGAACAACCTGCAGTTTTAATTCTACTTTCTTTTCATATCGTTAAGAGTCGATAAAGAGCCAATATATCCATCAGGAGCTGGTGGAGACCAAAGCAGAGCTAAAGGACAGCACATATTCGACTCATTAGTTGTAAACACATTTGTTAATAAAAGGTTGAAATATGTATTTTCTGCTTCTTTCACATCAAGTGCATCAGTGAGGATTATGACTCATGAACACAACTGAGGTCTAAACATTAATAAAAGTCATTTGAGCTACTGACACTTTATTAATCGTGAGTTATATCACATTAAAATAAGAGGAAACACAAGTATTCATTATGACAACATGAATATAATTTGACATTGTGGTTTTTCTTCTGTAAGCGGAAGTAAACATTTACACCCAGACAGCCGAGTTCCTGTTCTCACTTCAGATGGAAACTCTGATCACTGATCACTCCGTCTGTGTGAAGAGGAGGATGAACATCTGCAGCTGCCTGCTAGCCTTAGTGCTGGGCTGGAACGCCACCGCAGGTAAGCACTCTTCAGATGATCAGTTTTAATATTGTTGTTTGAATTGTTTCATGAGAGTGTGTGATGTTTGTAGTTCAACTCCAACCAAGTGTTAGCGAGAGACTCAACAGCCGATGATCGTCTGTGAGAGTTACGTGTTCGATGAAAGCACTTCAGGAAGTGTGTTCTCCATCAATCAGCGACAAGTTTTAAATTAAACATTTTATAAACTCAGATCCTCATCCGCTCAGATAGTCGTGTGATGATTTGTTATGATCGTGGTGTAAAGATGGAACTGTGGGTGACATGAAGTATAATTATCATTCGTTCCTTGCAGTTGAATTTGAACTTCCTGTCGGTCTAAATGCCACTGGACTCGTGTTCAGAGGACAGAGTTAAAGTTCAACTTTGGGTGCAAAATAAAACTAATTTTAGAAGAAGTTCAGACACGCGTGGCTGTGACCTCCATTAAAGCTACCCTCCTCTCAAGGGAATACTTTCTCACTCCCAACTCGTCAAATATGTCCACTTGGTCAGCGGCCCTTTGCTTCAAACTACGACGCTCCAGAGAACTCAGACTCAGTTTGGAGGCGACGGGATCGTTTCTAGATGGTAAACCTAGATCTGTGAAAACCTGACGACCGATCCTCACCTGAACCTCCGGGTCAATGTCTGACCTCAACCGTCTCACCAGAGTTTAGTACATCGAGGGTTAACATCGAGGCTGATTCAGGGACAGCGTGTCAGTTTACACTCGTCTTTTCAAAATAAACTACTTGTATGTTTAGGAGACAAACGTACTTGGTTATGTTCGATCTGGTTTAAAATGATGCGTTACCTAACTGGGGTTAGTTAAGTACACAAGTTAAATAACACTACTGTAAAATAAGTTAACGTTGACTTTGTCTCCTGCAGATACAAACTGCAGTCCCCTGACTTCTTTGTAATATTAAATTATCAATATTGAAATTCTGAGAACAGATGCTAATTGATTGTACATTTTGTTTGTTTTGCAGAAATAATCCATCAAACAGTCGAGGTAAAGACCTCAGTCTCTCTTCGTTGTCCTCACTCTGTGGAGAGCATCGTGACGTGGAGCAGAGAGAGTAATGGACGTAAAGTTGACATTCTGACAGTTGGAGTCGACACGGACATAAGACACATTGATGACCCGCAGAAACGATACAGTTCAGAGGCAGATAAGTCTCTGTACATTCGCAGTGTTACCGTCTCAGACTCTGGAATATACTTCTGTAACAGTGAAGCAGCTGTGGAGCTGACGGTTATCCCACCAGGTAACATCTCACTCATGAGGTCTCTTCCTGTTTTAGCATCACGTCCCTGAGCTAAATGATTTATGTTTCTAAAACTTTGTTACATTAATGTAATTGTACATTTCTAGTTTTTATACCATTAACTGTGACTACATTCATTTACTTCTCGGTTCTGTAGCTGAGAAGCTTTTTGGTGTACTTCTGCATTTCTGGGTATTTGTTGCAAAATATTGGTTTTATTTTTATTCTTAAAGATTTCAACACGCTTCACTGAAAATAATGTGCATTACTACATTATTATTTATAAAACTGCAAACTATCACATGTTCAAACTGAGATTCTCACGAAGGGAAGGAGTTATGAAAGACGTAGAAATTCAGTCATTTTCTTTGAAGGTCTTAAAACTTTCTGAAGGGAATGCTAATAAGGGGAAATTATGAGTTCTTACTCTTACAAAGATCATTTATTTAATCATTTTTAAATAAAGGAACTATATACTATATACACTGTAAAAGAAATAAGTCCTCTAAAATCTCATGTACATGAAGAACATGTTAAATGGAAATACTCCTTAAACGTCATCTTTTTTATCATGAATACATGTGATGAGTTTATGATGGTGCATTATAAAACATGAATGTTTTTTGCGTGTACAGGAACAACTATACTTCATGCTACAGAGGGGACAAGAGTCACTCTGACGTGTCCTCCTGATGGAGCATCAGCTATTAAAATATGGAGCAGCAGAGATATTGATGAAATACAAAACCAGAGAAGATTTTATGTTTCATCTGTTAACCAGACGTTGACTATAACGTATGCAGAGCTGAAACACTCTGGGCTTTACTACTGTGATGGAAAACCTGCTGTGTATCTGATTGTGACCAAAGGTGAGACACAGGAAGTCAGAGAGGAGCAAAGAAATATGTGTGGAAGTAAAAAAGAAGACTTCTTAGATGATTGTTCATCCCTCAACTCCCAGAGACACCACAGCTTGTCATCTTAAAATTTTTGGTTTGTAAACAAACAAGACAGAGCTCCAGACTAACTTTTCCATTTAGGTGCACCCATAGAAATAGAGTAGAAGTAGACCAGACATTCCCATTCAAATCAACGTAGCACGATGGTCAAAGGACATTTTTATGTGTTCTTTACGGTGCCATTGCAGCCGTGGTAGTGGTGAGGTTTTGCAGGAATAACTTAACAAGCTGGGGAGTAGTAACGTTATGAAGTGTAGCGAGCCAGTCAATGAGTAAACTGTAACAACTTAATGCTTCATCCAAACACTCAGTTTGCTCATTTTCCATAACCAGTGTAGCATTAAGCACGGTGGACGTAGCAATCCACCTGGCTAGCTAGCTAGCTTGTTCATTCCACCATGCTTTAATGCTACACTGGTGACAGAAAATCAGCCAAACAGCAGGTCTTACAGTCCCTCCGCCTCACTAACCACCGCTGTGGAGGACAAGCTAACTAGCCAGCCATTCATGTCTGAAGCTGCGAACATATTATCTATGTTTCTATATTTATATAATATCAGGGTTTGAGCCAATCAGAGGCCGAGTAGGAGGCAAGTCTTTGCAGGATGTGGTTTGGCGCAGAAAAAAAAAAAAAGTTTAATGTGAAAACCCCCAAAAAACAGTCAGTTCAGTCAAACTAAACCAAACAGATTTAACAGATCTAAGACGTTAATCAGTGAGCGTTAGAGGTGCCAGTTGGTGGATTCTGTTACCTTTGGAACAGACTAGCTGTTTCCCTCAGTTTTCAGTCATTATGCTAAGCTAAGCTAACCAGCTGCAGACTTTAGCTGATTATTCATAGTGACATTTTCGTTTCCTTTAAACAGATAACAAACAAAAATAACCTCAACCAAGAGGTGTAATGGTACAGTTCCTTCTTGTATTTTAATCAAGCAAACATCCTCTGCATTCAAATGGTTTAAGTTGTGAGAAAGTTGTGTCGCTAAATGATACCCATTAAAGTAGAAAACCACAGCCATTTCCTCCGCTCAAAATGAGTGTGATGACTCTGAGGTCAAGAGCTTTTTCATGCTGTGTATTTATGTCCTCTCTCTCAAGCTGAAGGCCAAACCACAACCTCAACTATCACGCCTAAAACAAGACCAACAAGTGTACCATCAACTACACACCTGACTAATGAAGGCACGACTTCAACAACAAAAAGACACAAAAAGAAAGAGAGAAAGAATAGTAAGATGAAACACATCTTAACATGAAATTAAATTAATGAAAAGGCGATTAATCTGAGAGAGCTGGTAAAATATATACCGTTTGTACTCCTCTGCCCCTCACAGAATGTAACAACACAACAACAAGCTCAACCCCCACAACTACAACAAGACAAACAACAGCAGCAACAAAAGGAACAACTTCAACAACAGCTACAACATTAACAACGGAGTCAAACACAAGTAGGACTATATAATAATAATAATAATAATAATAACATGTAAATAATATAATAACACACTCTTTGAGTAACACTCAGCTGTGTTTCTAAATGACATGTTGTAAGTTACTAATTCTTACTTTGTCTTCCAGCGGAGGACCCACCACCTCTTCGTTTAGTGTTTGGAATAGTCGCCTTCCTCCTCGTGATCATCATCGTCGTCTACTTTGCTTGGAGACGCAGGATTGAAAGACGAGGTGAATCAAACTTCACCTGTATAAACATCAAAGCAATATGAATAATAATGAATTAATTCATATTTAAAAAGTTGAGCAAATGAATGGACAATAAATACATAATATAAAATTATAATAAGCACCGATAGCTATAATAGAGCAGAGATAGTTTAAGTAATAAAGATAAATTATGCATTAAATTCCTCCATTTTGGATTCTGTGGCTCTCTAATCAAGTAGGTTTGTGCATGGTCAACACGTAGGTTAATGTTGTGTAACGCCACGGTTAACGTTGTGAAGCAGTCACGGTTAACGTAGTAACAGGGTT